TCAATAAATTGTATTCTAACTTGATTATAAAAAATATCTTCAAAGGACTGAATGCAGATATGAACCTAAGTTGGATTGTTCATAGTCAAGGCTTGACTAGTAAAGGTCATCAGTTTCACATACTCTGAATTTTGACAGTAAGGATGTGACTTTTTTGTTTTGCTTTTAGAATTAGAAACGGTTATTACTCTCATTGAAAAGCAAAAAAATTCATCGATTATTTGCTTTGACGAGAGGACAACATGAAGATTGAAAATTAAAACCGATATTCTTCTCGTATCGATCAATTCAAGTGATTTCATTTTGATGGAACACAATCTCGACCAAGAATAAATTCTCTATCGAGCCATTGATGCCTTTATCAACAAGCGATTTCCAAGTAAGGATAAAAAATCGAAATCTCAACAGTACGAACAAGCCATGACGTGTCTGATCATCTATCGATGTATGCAGAAATTCATTCAGAATACGCTCAATATCGACAATCAACAACGTGTTCTGACTATTATTGCTCTATATTTGTCACATTTACACGAGACAAACATTGACTGCTCCTATTTGGATAATATTCCAGCCGTCGATTATCAATTGGAAAACGATATCTGCCATTGATATTCTTCGAACGATTCATACCTATTTATTAGGGTGTGGGTGACTGTGGGAGTGAGTCAGTGAACAAATTATATGCACACCTACACCCATATCCTAATCTAGATAATTTTTCTGATTCTGCCTTGCAAATGATAACGGAAATATGTGAAAGGATTTCGAAGAAACCAATACAAGATCATGCTTGTTCATTGATTCTCGAAATAACGTGTGAGGATCTTGAAGGAAATGAGATTGAAGATGTGTCCAATGTCAAATATACATTTCGATGAGTACAATCTCAAGCTAAAAATTAAAAAGATTCTCGATTGATATTTCTATTATAAGTCACTTTAGATAGCGTCATATACAATGTATTACAAATATAATACAACCATCAGTAGTTAACATTGCATTACAGATAGCCTATTTGAAAAATATAATCGAAAAAATTCACAATGATCACTGTTCTATTGAATGAATGACGTCAAAGGATATATTCATAAATGTGCAGGGAAAGTTCGAATTGATTCTTGAAGTTTGTGTTTGGAAGCTAAGATTTTTATGAGAGCGCACATTTATCAGAGCCTCTTGCCATCAACATTGTCCACCAAACCTTTTTATTTCTTTGATTAGCACCAACGCCAACCTACAAGAAAAATGATACCAACTGTGTACGAAAAGTATTGCATGCACGTTAAAATCTTAAACCACTATGTAATTGAGTCTGAATACCTGATTATACTTGGAGTTGAGAATGTTGGCACGGTGCTTGGGTGATTTCATCCATTGATTGACAGTGTTCTGTGCAGAGCGGTCAGAATTCAGGGCAATGTTTTCAGCAGCTGCGCCATACAAAGGATATTTGTTTCTGAATATACGACTCTGTTGTATGCATAGAAACAATTCGAAAAGTTGTGTCTATCAATAAGGACATTTGTACGTACTTTTAAGTTTCTATTACTTCCGTGAATCAGTTTTTTGTTCTTGCTCATCCACTCAGAATGTTGCAATGCTGCCGCATTGAGCTTCTTGGAGAGACATAGTGGTCGAAGTCTGTAATTTCGTCGCACTAGTTCAATGAGGAAAAAATGGAGACAACACAATATATCGAATTGATCATGAAATATCTATAGAACTCATGCGAACACTTTATGCTTACTTCGGTTGAGAGCTTTGATGAAGTCCCGATGGACCTGATTGAGCTCGGCCGCTGTCAATGTTAGGATGAAACATAGAAAGATGATTCGAACTGGTGACATACTCTATTGCACTATTAACTAGAGTAATGAGATGCTACAGATGAAGACTAGAAAAAAATCTAAAAAGCGAAGTCAGAAAAATAGAAGAAGATGCTTTGTTCTCGCAGAAACATTGTTTCAATGGATACTATAGACAATAAGGTACAGGTTTCATTGTTGAACATATCATACGAATATGTTCAGTGAAATTTAACCTTTCGTGCAAAACGTCTTCTCGATAAAATCACGTCAATAGATAGATTTTTTTGGTTCAAGAAAATCGAAATTCAAATCCCATTAGAACTTGACAGAAATGCAGCTCAAATCATCGCAGCAGCAGCAGAGTAATGATTATCATTTATAGCTCTTCCAATCTGATCATTGCCAAAAGCTTTGCTGAATAACTTTGAAGTTTGAAAAAAAGTTGGCAGTGGTTTGATTTGAAGCGACAGATATTTCCTAGAAATTGTGAAATTTCACTTATATTCCATATAATCGAACATGAAATACTATGGATTTACCTTATCTCAGTTGAGAAAAACCTCAGTTGCATGATTCCTTATCGGAAAACTCTCCACCACTTCGTAACGCTCTGCTGTTGGATGTTGCTGTAAGTTTTACCAATGCACTGAACGAAATAAATGTCTCGGTCTTGGTTGCCTTCTTGTCTAGCTACTGAAAGCATCTAAGAGAGACATTCAAGATTAAATCGCGGAAAGGTTATCGAAAGCAATCATTGCTTCCAACTTGCCATATACACATTGTCTCTCTTTAGATCAACGCGGCATTTTTCCTCGACCTATACCGTTCCTATTTTATCTTAGTAGACAATTGTTATTTGCTTCTACCAATGTTACTTCCTTACATTTCAACAATAAGATTTTTCACACCGCTTGTCTACTCAAACTCATACAATGTGCGCATCGATTCTTCTACGAATAAATAATGATTTAATATTTTATGATTCTTTTCGAACAAAAGTTGCTCGCATATGCGAGTTTAAGTCAAAACCTCAACTGAATCCAATATACATTTTTGCAAGAGATTTTCAAAGATAGTGTTTCGATCATTCTTTACCTCCAAGTCTTCGGGAAAATTTCCCTAAAAAATTGATAACCAATATCTCGCTGTTTGGATGTATCTTGTGAGAAGATTGTATCGACAGTCAAAGTTATTGATTCGTTAAACTGATCGAGTTTAACATGGTGCATTTCGAAAGAAATCTGTTCATTTCCAGTAAAAGAGAAAATAGGATGGTTGAATAATTCTCAAGATGTTCAAAACTCGTCGAATATCTGTCTCTTTGAAGATCTCTCATTCATAATTATGCAAGTTGCAGGCTGATCTAAGATATCGAAGGTCGTATGACAGTTATTCTCTCGGCTGTACTCATATTCCTTATCATGAGAAAAAAGTAAGCAAATAAGCAGAATGATAGTCGTTTGTCTCACCACTAGTAGATAATGGTTACAAAAGAAGAATGTTTTCGATTAGACGAACAACATCAGACACACATTACTCTAAACGAAACATGCAGATCGTTTTATTCTTTGTTTTTCTGACTGGTGTCATCTGTGAACGTCAGATCTTCAGTGAACGGTGTCTTGATAATCATGACCAGACTTACTTACGTGGTTCTAATTATATCCGTCTGGTGAATGGGTCCATGCATGCTACTTTTGAACCTGATTTGTATTCTACTTGGATGATTGAAAATGCTATGATACAAATGTATAACTATGGCTATAATTATGTGCGAGTCTTTCTTGATTGTCCAACTCTATATAATGGATTTGGACTTTCGTCACCTGGTGTTCCTCTTAGTTATACGAAGAATGTTATAGATTTTCTCGTTCGAGCATCGAATCATCAATTATCTGTGATGTTGACGGCGAGTTGGAATCCTGAAAACTATCAATCGATTATCGACTCTTATCCTATGCCATCAAATGTCACAGGAGTCAACACCATTGTCTTTCATGCTGGACAAGCCGCAGCCAAAGCCCAATTCTTCCAAGATCTCTTGTATGAAATCAAAGCAATCAATTCGACAGCTTTTCAAACAATCTTTGCTATTGATGTTTTCAATGAAATCTGTGTTTCTGTTCAAGAAGAACCATTTTCACTAACTAGTGGACTGGTGTCCTTTGGAGATGTCCTGTATGACATGGCTAGAGGTGACCATCGACAACAGTTACTCGATATTGCTGGTAACATTTGGCTAAATACAGTAGCTGCAACGATTAAATTAGTGTCGCCGACGATTCTAGTTACGGCTAGTCTTTTTTCACCCAATGCCGTCGGTCACGATGCATTCGATGGTGTACAAATTTGGCCACCCAATGTGGACGATCGATATCCTCTGCGACCTGCAAGTCTTGTGCACAGTCTTGCCGACTATATCGACTTACATGTCTATGCTAGTGACAATGCACAGAAAGAGCTAGAAGAAGCTGATTTGAGTTCAGAGAAGCCATTTTTGATGAGTGAAACAGGAGCATTTAAAGGAAATTATCCGAATGCATCCATCGCTGCTACAGCCATTCAAAAAGTAATCTTAGCTAGTCTCGATTATCGATTCACTGGATGGTGCGTTTGGACATGGGATAGTACTGATCAAGAGCCACGTTTTTGGACATTGACCGAAGAGAACAATGCAATCAACAATATTCTAGCGCCGAGTGTGTGGCCGATTGAGAAACTGAAGAACAAGAGAGAGCGAGTGAACTTTTGATATGTAATGAATAAATATTGCAATTAGTTTCATCCTATTGTGCCTGTTCAAATGAATTCATACAGACAGCAGTAAATCATAGGGCCAGTAGATGGAAAAGTTGTTCCACTTTATGGAGCAATGATTCATTCCACGAAAAGTGATATATATTGAGGAGAAATGAATAAAAAAAACGATGTGCCTAGATTCAACCAGAATGTCATACCATGTGCAGGA